CTCCTAGATTTTTAAGATAGACGTTTTGAGAAGTAATTTTGAACTATTTAAAAATTATTTATTTATTTTTATTGCAAAATCAGATATATAGAGAGAGGATGAGAGACAGAGAGAAATATCTTCTGTCAAATGATTTACTCCCCAAGTGACCGCAACAGCTGGTGTTGGGCCTAATGGAAGCCAGGAGCCAGGAGCTCTTCTGGATCTCCATGCGAGCACAGGGTCCCAAGGCCACAAGCAGGGAGCTGGATGGGAAGCGGGGCTGCTGTGTTTAGAACCAGCACCCATATAGGATCTTGGTGTGTTAAAGGCAAGGACTTTACCGCTAGGCCATGGCGCTGGGCCCCGAAATAATTTTCACCTTTTAAGACATTTCTCTCAGCATACTGCTTTTGCTACATGTTGTTTTTGATAGACTGACATCTATTATTACTCAACTAGATATTTTTAAATTTGCTTTGTGTTTTCTTCTTTGATCATAAGCCACTCTGCAGTGTACTGTCTGATTTTCAGGTTTTTGTAGTTTCCCACGGCATCTCCCCGTTGCTGATTTCTGAGCTCGTTTGATCGGTCAGAGAACACCTCCGGTAGGATTCTGATTCTTTCACAGTTACTGAAACTTGTGGCAGGAAGTTGGATTAAATCTGGGTTGGTGAATGTTTTGTACCTGTGAAAACCCTGTGTTTGCTGCTTTTGTTATGTATACCATCACTGAAAGCATCAGTTACGTCCAGACAGTGGCGTTAGCAAGCAGAATGTGGTGCGGTGTCAGGAGAGTGGCTCGGCTCTCACTAGAGGACAGAGTTGCTTGTTCAGGTCACGCGGTCCGGGAATCTTGGCATTCCCAAGTGTTGCCCGGCACAGCTTCAGGGGCTCAAGATCCTAAACCTGCTGCGGTGCTTTCTCATGCAATCCCTCCTCTGTGTGACAGATTCCTGGGCCTGGTCCTCAGCCTTTCCTCCCGTCAAGCTGCAGGTTATGGGGTCTCTCACACACCGTGAAGGAGCATATCTTAATTATCTTAGCTCTACATGCTCATTGCAAGAGCATTACCATAAACAACAACAACAACAACAACAACAACAACGTCTCTTGCTCATTGCATGGCTGCAGCCCAATCCTCCCTGCTTCACAAAGATTCACTAGAAAATTCAACAGGCAGGGTCTGCACAATTTGAACAAAGATTTGGGCTGAGGGTGAGGAAATTGGAAGAGTAGTGAAACCATGACAGGAAGTAAGTCTTGCTGTTGGGCTATTAACCTTTGTCTTAGGCCCTTCCCCGGTACTTTGGTTGTCAGCAAACAAGAAGGAGAAAACAAGGAGGTTGACTGGCAAAGGTTGGTATAGCATTAACAGTATTTTGTTTATGAGTTATCTGTCACTGTTTAACAAGATACCCCCAAACTCAAGGGTTAAAGACAACCACCATGTTATGCACTCTCACTTGTATGGATCAGAAATTGAGGGGGGTGTGTGGTTTCAACAAGATGGTTGTTCTGTTAGCCACGCCTTGGTGGTAGCTGTCCTTGCATTGCTTGAGTGAGGTGTCCTAAATTGAGCTTGTTCACCTGTCCAGGCATGGTGCTGTTGGTTGTCATCTTTGTGGGGTACCCTAGGCTCCCAGGGCATCTCTGCAGTGCCTTTATCTGTTGCATGGCATTGGTCAAGTAAGTCACAAGACCAGCGCGGAGTGAAGGAGTGTGGTCAGCAGGGAAACAGTCAAGGCACTTGACTCAGACTCTTCCATGTTGCTCACTGGTAGCTGTGTTGGTGATGCCCACAGAAAATTCTCTCATACTCACTCTGCTTATTCCATCATCCTTGCGTTGTTGACTGTCTGCTACTAGAATCGTAACTGAGCTATATCATGATTTATCTTTTTTTTATGAGAAACTAAATCAGATGATTGAGACCTATAAGTATTTCAAATGGAATTGACTTAACCAGAGGAAGCATGGGCCACTTTGTGATAATATGATCATTTGAATAATAAAAAGGGGCAGGGACATGATGGGAATGAAAACTGATGCTTTCCACATACTCCCATGTGGCAGGCAGGCCACCCATGCAAACTCATTTGTCGTTTCCAACAGTCTAAGTGGGCAGTGCCATCACCTGTTGACTGACGGAAACCGGAAGCTGGGCATGGCAAATGACAGGAAATGCCACCTGAGTAGCAAGTCTGAAGATTAGTATTCACCCTGAGTGTCTCTGTTGTCCTAACTCCTTTCCAATATTCATGGCTGTGGATATAGATACTTTACACACATATTCAAATTATGCATACTTTAACCTACTTTTAAAAAATTCATTATGTGGTGAGCATTTTCCAGCTGAAATGTAACTCTACAATTATTGTCTGCATATCTGAGTATTCCTTTGATGTGTTGGGCCACAGTTTAATTTATGATTTTTCTGACTTGGATAGTTGGGTTGCTTATATTAGATTAAACCTGGCTTATTAAATATCTAGTGATGACAGTGAATATTCTTCTGGACTGAAAGTATTTGTAACTCATCTGAGCCTTGTCAGTTGCCCTTCCTTCTTCCTTTCCCCTTTTTCCTTCTTCCCTTCTCTTCCTTTTTTTTCCCTCCTCTGCTCTGTTTGCTTTTATCATCTTCCCTGGAATAGCATGAAAAAAAAAGCTAAGATCTTCTTAGATAACTGTAGGAGATGCAGCACACGAAGCTAGACACGTTCTCCAATGTGGACTATTTCTACTTGAAATACCTCTTGGCTCATTTTCAAGGACAGCTCCTTGCTGGGTGAAAACCTGTTTACACTGTAAACCAGCACCTTCAAGCTTCCCCGGGAAGGGTTCTCCGGGAGAGCCCAGCACGCACGTCCTGCCGCTAGCCGGTAGATGTCTCTGTTTCATTCACCCTCGTGGCCGCTTCCTCCTGAATGGGAAGGCTCCAGAGCCCAACGGTGCGTGGGAGGTTAGCCCTTCTGTCCCCTCCCTCTCTCCTCGCATCTGGGTTCCTGCTGCGTGGCATAAAGGTCATTGAGACAGGCACCTTCTCTATCTTATCAAAGATGGAAGGGAGTCTCTACCAGGTGGAAACATTTTCTTTGTACACAGCACCATGCTCCCAACTAAAAGCCATATTACTGAGTCATAACAATTAATTCCACGCGGAGGTGCAAAGACAGGATGTAATGCTCTAATGTGATTTGAATCGAGGCCGTTATCTCATAGCACTGATATTTAAAACAAAATCAGTTTTTTACGGGAGCATCTGCAAAGGGGGCTGATTTCAAAGCTTACGTCTGAAGACAGCCTTGGCAACAGAACATTCCTGTTTTAGCTTCTGAGAGGTTTAATATGCACATTTCAAGTCTCCAGATTTTTGTTTCCAGGAGCATCTTCTTTGGATTCTGGGATTTGGGAGCAGAGAATGCGGTGGGGGCAGGGGCTAGGAAGAACTTTTATTTTCATCGGGAGTTTTCGAAGTGTGGGAAGTGTGCGGGATGAGTTATGGGAAAAGGGAAAATGTCATCTCGGAATGGAAACCACACCACCAGGCATCCAATATGCATTTGCACATAGGGTTGGCACAGCAGCCCCTTGCGCGAGAGATGGGATTGATTGCTGGGGCTGGAGCAGGCAGCAGGGACTACAGGAGCCCAGAAGGCCCGTACTGCTTTCAAGCAGGAGTGGGAGGTCCTGTGGCCCATTCGGGAGAACACCAAGCCTTTAGAGGCAGTTCTGTAGCTATGCCAGCAGCCAGCTCCTGGTGGTGGTGGTGGTGTGCTAAGCGATCTGGGCTTGCCTGGGCAGATGGCACCTACTTGGCGCTTACAGGATCCAGAAGGAGCTCCTTGGAACTGAACTGACACTGGGTCTCCTCTCCAGGGCTTTGGTGAACCAGGGACTGCTCAAGCCTTGGCTGATGGAGACGTCTGCGCCTTGGAGAGCTGCCTAGATGATCTGGTGGAGTCAAGATAGGGAGCTGAGCTGACACGTGCAAACCCGTATACCCTGATGACACAGGGGAAAAGGACAGGTGTTTCCAAACAAAGGGCGTCTGTATTGACGTGGCACAGGTGTTGGCCGATGTCTCCAGACACTTCTCCCACCAGCCCTATGGCTCTCTACACGCTGCTTTTCAGGTTCCTTGGGACACCGGCTTTGCCCCAGCCCCAGGGCAAGACCCCTTGTTCTGAAGTTTCTCCAGTGTGAACCGTACAAGCCCCCCAGTTCCTCAGGGGCCTGATCCCTCTGGTAGGATCTGAAGTGAAAGGAATGGGAAGCACAGGGTCTTTCCCAGCTGCCAGCATCAGCCCCGGAGCCCCCCGGCCTAGCAGCCTGCAATGGCCTCATTTAGGGCGGTGAGCACCTGCAAAGGCACCTGCAGCTCCCAGCATGCTCTGCTCCCTCCATGCCTCCTCCAGGCCAGGTGCTTTCTGAGAACTGCCTGTCTGCCTCTCCCACGTGCACACGCTCTATCATCTGTTCTCAGAACCCAGCTCTGAGCTGAGGCGTAAGAGCTGCTTAGTTAAGTGCGGCGGGACACATATGGTCTTCAGCAGCGCCCACTAAGTAGAGCACAGGTGCTTGGGCATTCAGGCTGCCTGGAAACCTGGGACCCCAGAGTCAGGTGAGGTGGGGAGTAAAGTATCCTTCTTGCAAAAGACCCCGCCCTCCCCGCCCATTGGTCTTTAAGTCCTTCCCTGCACTGCTGACCTAGGACCCTGTCCTAAACCCAGCTGTCCTGTGTGTGTTTATTGGGGGGAGGGTGCTTCCGCTGCGCTCCTGCGCGCTCCGGGACCCACGTCTTTTCCCTCGCCGGAGGTGGGGGCAGCCTCGGCTGCAGCCCCCTGCTCCCCCGCAGTCCCCAGGGCTCAGGCGGCCGCTTAGGGCGCCCTCTCCGGGCAGGCTCAGAGCGCGCAGGTCCGGGCGGCGGCGACGGCGGGGGCGGAGGGAGCGGCCGCCGCCGTGCGCTCTCGGGGCCCGGGCGGAGCTGCGTAGTCCTCTCGCAGCTGCGCCAGGACAGCCGGCGCGCCGCCGTGCCCACGAGTTGCCGGTGGCACCGCGCCGCCTCCTCGCGCTTGCAGCCCTTCGCGCTCACCCGGCGGCGGCCCGCACCAGGACGCAAGCCCCCCGATGTGAAGCGGGAGCAAGTCTCCCCGGCTCCCCGCACGGTGTGATCCAGAATCTGGTTCGCAGCTCCCCCGCCAAACCCCCGTGCGGCTGAAAGATGTGGCAGCCGGCCACGGAGCGCCTGCAGGTATGGGGGGTCCGGGGAGGCCTGGGACCAGCTTGGAGGAGGAGGTGCGGGGTCGAAGGGGACCAGAGGGGCTTTTCCGAAAGGGTCCAGGCACCCGAGTCTATGGAAACGTGATGCTGGCGGCTTAGTCCGGAGCCCGGCGCCCGGCGCCCGGCGGGGCCCTGGGATGATGAAACTGACCACCGCACGGCTCCGGGCGCTGCAACTTTGGCTTGGCAGCGCGTTTGTCTTTGCGTTGATCTCCAGTGTCCGGCTTTTTGACCCGCAATTTTAGGTTGCCTCGCACTGGCAGGAATTTTACCAGCCTGGGGTTAGCGCTTTTGGATCTAGATTTTTCTGTCTCTCTCCTTTTTTTGTCTCCAGGAAAGACACAGAAAAATGATTTGTGAAAGCATTCATTTGCCAATATAATTTGGAAATAACGAGCTTGGTTTGGCTCGGTTGTGGTATGCTACTTATTTTTTTCTCACTCTTCGTTGGCTCTCTCTTTTCATCTCGTCCAAAGCCTTAAGCCCCTCCAGATACCTCGAAATCAAAAGTGAAGTTGGGCCAGCCATAGTTGGGTCTCTGGCCGGTCAGCCCCTTGGAAGTTTCGTGTCGCGGGCTCCTGAGATGCTCCACTACTTCTGGTTTGGACTTTGGAGGTGGGGAGGGGGTTTGGGTGAGAGAGAGGGGTGTTTGCCCAGAGGCACTCACTGGGTGACTCTCCTGGCGTAGGACAGCATTTTGCAGGGAAATGGTCTGGGGGGGGGGGAGCGGCTCACCCGCCTGCCCCAATCCACTGAATCCCAAGGTTTAGCTTGGGGAGGCCTCAGAACCTCATTGTTTTCTAGTCAACTTTGAAATAGTGTTTAAGTGGTAAAGTGCCACACTGTGGGACCATCACAGAGAAAACAGGTCCCGGCTGGCTGGCTGACCAGGCTTCTCACGGATGAGACCCTCCCAAGCCCCAGTCCTTACACGGTTGGCTTCAGGGCCTCCTCGGCAGGATTCACCTGCAGGGGGCAATGCATTCAGCAGAGAGAGTTGCCCCCTTAAGAGCTCTGCCAAGCCTCCTGGGCCACAATGTTAGGGGAGGGGTGTGTTCACTTTAACAGAGCCCAGACATTGGGCCGGTTCCCTGGCGTTTTAAACAGACTCCAGAAACCCCACAGCCTTCCTGATGGGGAGGTGAGTGGCCAGCCCTCTCTGCGCCAGCTTGGCTCTTTAAGAAAATGCTTAACAGAAGGTGTCGTGAAGGTGGTTTTAAAAACAATTTGAGGGGGAAGCATGAGGGAAAGGTGGTTATTCTTGAATTGATTCATTTGAATTCCTCCTTCAGTTCAAGGCATAAAATTTCCCATCAAGGGGCAGAATAATTGAGGCAGGGACAGGTCCCATTCAAGCACAGAGGCTCCCGGAAGAGACACGGCCCAGGGAGCTCCGGTGCCCTCCTGGCCCCGGGAACTGTGCCTCTGCAGTGTGCCCATGTAGCAGGTCTCCCCATCCTGAATCACATAGGGCATCCCGCACATGGTGGTGCTCCAGACCCTTGGCACTGTTGGCACCATGGAACATGCCCGTGTGTGTCTTTGGCACGAGGCTTGTTGGTTAGAGTTTGTGTTTGCCACGTGTTTATTTCAAGGTGCCCTGCGGAGAGAGCTTGGGTTTCAGGCTTTGGGGAGCTCTGGTCAACAGGGCTCATTGCTGAGTTCTAGTCATGCACGTACTTACCAACATAGGGGGCAGCTTCAGGCTCTAACTGGCCAGGCCATGTCTCTGCTGAAAGGGCATCTTGTGCCTGGGGATTGGGAAAATGAGCCCACATAGGAAGAAGGCTTCCTGCCCCAGGCCTCTTCCAGTCTAGCCATCAGGTACACACAGTCTGTTTTCTTTCTGCTTCTGGGGGAGGGAGCTGCTGAGAGTGAGGTGGTGAGTGAACTGCTAGTAAGAATATTTTATTTACATTCCTTGTGGTTATCTTTGTCACGTCTCTATTTGCTGTCTGGGATTTTCTTCCTTCCCCTTTTTGCCCTCAAGGCACCATCATGTAGCAACATTCACTTCCACTTCCTCTTTGAGTGCGTGCTTTCCCATGTCCAGATTCCGTGGCTGTGGAGTCAGCCACGGAAATGGCTGGATGGGGAAGTGAACCATGGACCCCACTCTTGTGTGAGCCCCATCCTCCTTTTGAATCAGTAATGTTTCGTACATTCTCTTCGAGAACTGGAGTGAAGGGGGTGCTTCAAGGAAGTCTGTCTGCAGTGCCCTGGTAGGCTGAAAGAGTCAACTGATTTAGCACCCAAGTCCGTTCTCCATGGAGTTCCCATCAGATGACGCCCCCTGGGGAGGTCCCTTCTGGGAGTGAGACAAACTTTCCTAAGACTCCACGGGCAGATGAATGACTTTGGAGAGCAGAAATGGCTCCCGGTTCTGCAGACTCCTTGATCAGCTTTGATTTTCAGGATTATTTGCACTTCTTTGTTGAATTAAAACAAAAAAAAAGTGGTGCTGATCTTTTCTGAGCTGAGGTTTAGCCTTTTGGCCCGAATCCAGTACGACCACACAGACCTGTTGCCCTGAGCCCTGAGCTGTGCTGAGCTGGGTGGTTTCTCATTCAGTCACAGAACCATGGCAAGTTCATCCGCTCCCTTGAATGTTAAAACTTCTGCCGCATCCCGCTGGAGCCCTCGCTGGGGGCCGCTGCCCCGAGACGCAGAACAGGGTCAAAAGGCATGCGGGGACTTACATTACCCCTCAACTTGCAAAATATAAATAAATATGGATTCTTCTCTTTCACCTTCTCTTCTGCACAGTGGACTTTCAACTTTTTTTTTTTTGTCTTGGAGGGTCTCCTGAGAGTTGTAAATTTTTTAAAAAGTAGATTTGAAACAGACTCTTTTTGAAAAGTCAAAGGGACTTTTCAGTAGGAGCAAGGCTAAGCCTTGGTTTTTCAGCGCAGAGCTGAGATTCCTTATGGCCTTGGTATTTCAACATTTGCGTGAATTTCCTGATGGGCCTGACTGCTGTGCTGGGGTGGGGGTAGGGAGAACCTGGGAGGAGTCCTTAGAAGTGACAGGATCACCCATGCACCAGGATTCTCTGATGTCTCTGAGTGCGTGTGTCCCAGTGACAGTCTTCAGCGAGTTCACCTGATGCGTTCTTTTGCAGGTTAGGAGGGAGCTGAACTGAGACTGAGCTGGAAGCAGAGGAGGCTGCACAGCTCTGTGTTGGTGCTGTACAAACACTGAGTGGAATATGATCGTATGGATGTGTGTGAAACAGTTCCTTACATGTTCTAGCTGTGGGGTCTGTGTGGAGCCACCCTCTCATGAGCCCGTTTATTATCAAGGTTCTAATTTAGTCATCCGTTTGCCTTCCCAGAGATGCAGATCCAGGCAGTCCAGGACATGTCATCCATAGAACTGAGTGGCTTCTCAGGCTGGGCTGTATTTTCTCCCTTTCCCCTTCCTTTTTGCTCTGGGTTTGGAGGAGAGCTGCACAGTAGCACTTTCTAAGGGTTACGGGACAGGGAGGGCAGGGGGCAGGTCCTGAAGATGACGTGTAAGCTTCTAGCTGCTAATGAGGTTGAAGTTCCTCACTGACCCCTTGGGGTTTTTTTGGTGGGGGGCTCCTTCACCCAGGATTACCTTGTCCATACTCTCCTTTGTCCTCTGTGTCTAGCCCGTTATGACTTGCAGTGTGGATTGTTGCAGACTTTTTTGTCTGTTAGAGTACTTCTAGTCTCTGATAAACCAAGAGGCCAAGTGCGAGACCATCCAACATAGTTCACCAGGTGGAGAAAAAGTGAGAGAGAGAGAGAGAGAGAGAGAGAGAGAGAGAGAGAGAGAGAAACTGGCAAATTCACAGTGTTCTAGGCAGGCCAGATTGGCAAGAGGAACCTAAAACAGGGACGGGGTAATACCAGCAGCTGGCTTTTTTTCTTTAATTTTAAAAAAAATTTTATTGGAAAGTCATATATACAAAGAGGAGGAGACAGAGAGGAAGATTTTCCATTGCTTCACTCCCTAGGTGGCTGCAATGGCTGGAGCTGTGCCAATCTGAGGCAAGGAGCCCAGAGCCTCTTCAGGGTCTCCCATGTGAATGCAGGGTCCCAAGGCTTTGGGCCATCCTTGATTGCATTCTCAGGCTACAAGCAGGGAGCTGGATGGGAAGTGGGGCTGCTAGGATTAAAACGGGCACTCTTACGGGATCTTGGCATGTGCAAGGCGAGGACTTTAGCTGCTAGGCTACCTTACTGGGCCCAGCAGCCTGCTTTTGTGGAGCACGCTCTCTGTGTGGCACTATGTCCCAGGAGCATTGTGTAAATTACCTACCCCGTAGAACTCTGGTAATCACTTTTATCTGTGACCTGTGGAGCAACAGAAGACCAAAGGGTAGAAATGACTTGGCTGTATGCAAACAGCTAGAAATGAACTGAGCTGAAATTTGACTACGTGATTTGCCTCCAAACCTTGCTTTCTGGCCACTTCACTGTAGTGTGAGTGGATGAGATGACGTGTCATGCCCCAAACATGTTGGCAGTATTGTTGCTGATCAATAGAATCAGCTGTGGAAAGTTCTTTCGTGTTTCTTGTTGAAGCCATGCGGTTGCCTGTGTTGATTGAAGGCTCCTCTGTTTGGGTGGCTTAAATATTTGGGAAACAGAAGCTGTTGTGTCATGTTTAACTGGAAATCTTGTGTGCTGTGTAAGCCTCTTTTCAAGTGGAACCCATGCCATTTATATCCAAACGAGGGACCTTGAAAGCTGGTGAACCAGCGTGATAGTGTAGGCAGTCATTCTGAGTTTAGATAGAAGTGGGGGGAAGAGCGGGAAGCGATGGGAGTGTTCCAGAGCAATCCCTTAGAAATAAGCAACAGCTCCTTTGCTTATTCTAGAATAGACTTCCACTAAGTCTATTCTGGAATTTGCTGTTTATCTCATCCTTTGTGGTTGAGCAGGCATAGAGCATTAAACCACATTTGTACGGAAATGCAACTTGGACAGAGCATGCATTGGA